TGATAATAATGTAATTTTTTTAATTCAAAAGAATTTAATAAACTTTTAATATTTAAAAATCGTATTAATTTAGTCTTTGTTTTAATAGTCAATTCAGGGGTACGAATCTGGTTGGGGCAGCGTATTCACCCCTTGAATTTCAGTCCAACTCCAACCCAGCGCCACGTCAAGCATATTTACGTCGTCCATGATAATTATGATTCCTCTAAGGCTTAAATATGTAAAAGGTGCCCAATCTATGCCTACTTTTTCAGTTTGGTGTCTAATGTTTATTTTATTTCAGTTTGGTGTCTAACGTTTCATTTCGTTACTTAAAATGGGTCAAGTCGTGACAACCCATTTTTCCGTTAAGTAACACGTGTCACAATCAGATATTTTTAAAAATTTTATATAAAATTAAAAAAAATTATATTTTAAAAAAAGAAAACACATAAATTTCGAAATAATCCCAAAACTTTGAAAACCTTCATTTCAACCCCTAAACCCACACCAGCCGTCGACCTTTGCCATCGACGAAGCTCTACCCAACCTCACCTCTCCCCGGTGACCAAAACCCCTATGAAATCGTGACTGATCAACGTCCAATCAACGACGAATCGACGTTTTATACCCCGAGAACCCTAGGATGAAAATTGCAATTCCAAGCGATTTCGACGACCAATCGACGACAACTACGTTGACTTATAACTAGATGATGAAAAGGACTATTTCGGCGGTGGTGGTCGTGGTCGGAAAGGGAGGCGGCGACAAGTTAGTGTTAGGATTTGGGGATTTTAGGGATTTTGAGGTTTTTGTAATTTTAAAAAAATAAGGGTTTTTTTAATAAATATAATAATATTTTAAATATTTTTTAAAAATAAATTTTAAAATTACAAGATTGAGTAACGGACTGAAACGTTAAGTACCAAACTAGAACGAGATAAACATTAGGTACTAAACCGAAAAAACAGGTATAGATTGAGCACCTTTTGTATATTTAATCCTTCCTCTAACGACGATGAAGGCAATGAGATTGAAGCTTACAAAGCCACAATTGTCAAATCCAGCAATGACATCGAACCATCGATCTTGGATGCTCAAGAGGAAGGCACCGCCAATGACCGGATCAAGCGAAACCCTTCCTTAATTCGAAGAGATGACAATGGGTTAGTGTTTTTTTGTCATATCCAACTCGAGAAATATACATTTTCTATTTGAACTTATCAGATTCAAGAAGCATATTTTCTCTATTCAAATCGGATCCAACCTAAATTTTCAGGGTGAAAACTTTCGTTCAACCCGATTCGGTCATATATAAATATATATAAAAAATATTTTTATTCCATAAAATATGGACCTAATTAAAAAAATTATAGAAATGAGTATTATAGCAATTATACTTAAATTTAAAAAAAAAATTATATTATCATCTCGAGTCAGTTCATGTCGGAGATTCTTATCCTAAACTTGACTTGACCCGTCTCTTCTTTTTATAAAATATGACTTGATCTAAATCCGATTTTTCAAACAATCCTATCAGATTAAAATTTATAGATTTCGGATTAAATTACCATTCTTTGTTGATCCATCTCATGGGGAGACACCCTTTTAATTGTGAACCACCCTTGAATCGCCTCATGCACCAGAATTTCATAACCTCCACTACGTCTGTAACCACGGTGCCATTCCCAAAGCTTCGTGGAATGATTATTGGACCGTTAAAATAATCGGTTTAGTTTGATGGCCAATGAACTTAACCATGGAACAGCTCATGAACGAGTTCCGAAGCCGTGAATTCCCGGTCACGTTGGTTTGCCTAAGGAATCGGTGTAAAGAACAGAACATGGTAAAACCAACAGTGGATTTCAACCGGGGAGCTTAGGCGATTTTCACGTCGATGTAGAAAGACGTACCGTTGTGTGATGTGCTCAAATGATGAAGGATCTTCAACAAGAAACATGGTGCCCTCAATGTGTGTTTCGAAAGAGCCGACCATTTTTCCTGCGGCGACGGATCAAAGTACGAAACCAACATTAAATATAGAGAATTATTGAATTATTTTGAACCAAGACCATTTTGATAGAAAGTGTAAGTTTTAGGACTAAAATTGTTATTATACCATACCAAATCACTATTTTTCGTTAAGTCAATGATCAAACTATAAGTGACCAAAATAGAAAATAAATGTAACATTAGATATGTTTTTTTTTCTTCAAATAGTTAAATGACAAAAACAAAAACACCAAAATAGAGGAATGATCAAATAAATAGTTCACCTAAAATTATAATACGACATAAAAAAAATTGACAATTAATTATAGTGTTAAGTCTTTTATATAAAATTATAGTTCAAATTTTGATATTGTGATTTAAGTAAATTAAAATGAAAAGTTAATTCTTAACAAATTTTTATAAAATTTAACTAAATTAATCGATTAATAAATTAAATATCGATCATTATAATTGAGACTAATAACCTACTATAAGGTTTATATAAAGAGAAAATAATTTCATTGACCAAAAATGCCTTATAATATACGATTTTAATCAAATTTTTTTTTTGATTTGCCAAAATGACCAACTAAATCGCAATGCGATCGATAATTCGCAACGCGATCTCCGGTATCGCAAATCAGTTTCCAGATTCGCAACGCAAACTTCGACTATCGCATTGCGATAGTCCAAGTTCGCATTGCGATAGTCCAAGTTCGCATTGCGATTTATTCCAAATTCGTTGCGATAGTCCAAAATCGCAACGACTGGTGGTATTGCATTTGTTTCTTAAGAATTTTCTCTAAAAAGATAGTATTCGCGCGGACGTGACGAAGACACGTATTACCACGACCACGACCCGACCCGAGACGGACGGCGGCGGCGGCGGCGCGAGAGAGTCCCCCTTGTTCTCTATCACTCAACAAGGAAGTGGGAAAGCCAAGCCTTAAATATCATTCCCAATAGTGTTTCCAATACTATGTGAGATTGAGCATTACCAACACTTGTTCCCAATACTATGTGGGATTGAGCCTTAAATAGTGATATTATTTTTGAATGTTTTGCTTAAAATTGCAATAATCGCGATTAATTGTAAATTGACTTTTAATTATGACATATTTAATCGTATAATACTAATGCAATTGGTTGCTGATTCAGTTGTTTTAAGGTGCATGATTGTTAATTGTTTCATGAATAATCACATTGTATTGGAAACAAGTGTTGGTAATGCTCAATCCCACATAGTATTGGAAACACTATTGGGAATGATATTTAAGACTTGTTTTCCCATTTCCTTGTTGAGTGATAGAGAACAATGAGGACTCTCGAGTGCCGCCGCCGTCGTCCGTCTCGTCTCGTTTCGGGTCGTGGTCTTAGTCGTGGTCGTGGACGTATTCTTGACGTCTATAATTTTGTTTAATTGTATTTGCCATTTCTGGAGTTCAACAAACTATTATGTGATATATGTTCCATTTGATTGAATGATTGAAGTTAGTGTGGTCTTTTCGGTGGAGAGGCCGACCCTAGAAATTAAAAAGATGATAATAGTTTAAAAGGGTGTGGGTCACAAATCACAATTTATATTGCGAAATATATCACAATCGAAATTTTAATTTATTTTATATTTTCTGTATTTAAGATTTATATAAATTGAATTAATCGATCAATTTCAATAGAAAAAAGAGTGTTGTTTTTCTTAAATATTTTGAGTTGAGATAATTGTATCTATAAGATATATATTGTCAGTGACTAAAAAATATTTCAAACGTATATTATCTTGTAATCATTTCAGACAATTTAATTTTTAAATGAACCAAATTAAATAAACAAAAAATTATCATAAAAGAAAAACTTTTAAGAGTTGAATAATAATCCGGCTCAATTAGTGAACACTTGCGTTTTGAAATTCATTACTAATAGTATACTATACAATTTAGTTAATGTGAATTCTTTTAATAGTTTTGGACCAGAATATCATAAAAATTTTGGTATAAGGGGGAGAAAAAAAAAGCAGAAGGATTGGAAACATAATTTAACCAGAAAGGAACAAGACTTTTCCATTCTATTTATATTCCCCGTCTCATTTTCTTTCGCTAATCAAAATCGCTTATTCTTTTTTAAAGTCTGCTTAAACTCTATTTTCAATTACTACAACAACAATAAACCGTAACTTTTTCTTTTCTTATACATACATAGAATTGATTTTTCCGAGTTAAATGGAAGAGTATCGGAGAATGTGCATGGGAATCTCAACTGCCCAAAATTTCCCACATCGAAAATCCGTGGAAAACGCTGGTTTTTCCATGAACAACGCCGCCGTGTTTGAGTCCGATCATCGCGACCTTAATGCTGTTGATTTTTCCGACGTCTTCGGTGATGAGTTGGGAAGAACAGAGCCCCCTCCGCCCACCGGCTGGAACTGATATCGGGTTGTCGTTGTTCGCGCCAAATTTCAGGTAATCAGTCAGCATATAAGTCTTTTTAACCGTTTTTCAAGTTTTAACTGTTTTTTTACTGTCATACGGATTTGACGTTTATAACCCTGACTCTGTCTCTTCTACTAAGATGCTATTAGAGGCAGGACAATGAAAAAGTTTAGGATAAATTACCTTTTTAGTTATCAATCTATTACTTTATTTTTGTTTTCGTCACTTAATAATTTTTTAAATTATAATTATGTTTCTATTTTGATCTTTGAGGTTAGATTTGATAGTTAATTTAACGAAAGTAGAAATGTGGCATGATATTCAGACATAAAAGATATATTTTCTCGTATTATTGTATTCGTGTCGTATCTGTATTGCACTCGTATCCATGCTTCCTAGAGTTAACCATCTCATGTTTGAGAAATTTATTAAAATTCAAGCTCTGTTTCATCCGACAACGAAAACCTTCGACCGGGAAACGAAAACCATAATGAAAACTGGATCAAAAGTTCATATTATGCTCCCTTCAAACATGCTGCTTCCTCGGAAACCATTAGCTTGGAACCCGAAGCATCAATTTGTCGGTCGATAATTCGGAGTTTAACTTTCCTTATTCCCCTGCATCCTCGTGTTTCAGTCGAGAACCCGAGACAGAAACCGGAGTCCAAATTAATCCCATGCCGGGATACGATGAAGATGAATTTACGAATTCTTATGTTATCGAGATCAACTCCGATTTTCAACAAAGTAGCAGTGAAGAAGCAGTTTCAATTGATGAAGCCATTGCTTGGGCAAAACAAAGATATAATACTAAAAAATTTGATCTAAGAGAACATGAAAGAGATCAAACTAATGCATTTGAATCTATTCATCAGCCAACAGATGGCCCCGGACCGATGCTATCTCTACTGGTACGCTAATCTAACTCTTCATTTTTCTTGAAATATCTGCGTCTGACATAAATTTCAACACGACAAGGGAGAATTACTCGAGTTCGAGTGACATAAGCTGAACATGTTCTCCTTTAATCTCTGCAGGAAGAAAAACCAAAAAATTCAAAAAACGAAATGAAAAGAGAGATCAGAAGATGAAGATGTGAAGCATTGGTCATCTGGAAATGAAAATAATATCCGAATGCTCCTTTCAACACTTCATAATGTAAGCTATTTCTGAGGATTTCATCAATTTGCGGACGAGATACGGATGCTCATTGATTTTAATGAACAAAATGAGTTTCAGATTCTATGGCCGAACAGTGGTTGGCGCATGATCGATCTAACAAGCCTTACCGAAAGCTCAGAAGTGAAAAAAGCTTATAAGAAAGCAAGAATATGTCTTCACCCAGACAAACTGCAACAAAGAGGTGGAACATTATCACAGAAATATGTGGCAGACACGGCCTTTTCCATCCTACAGGTAAACTTCTAGGTACCAAATCGGTTTAAGGTTGAGTTTAGGGTTTATGAAAATCATTTTTTAGAACATGTTTTCAAAACGGATCCCTAACTTATACCTTAAACCCTATTAAACTCTCCATCTTATGAATCAGCTTTGGAGGTTTAGGGTTTCAGTTTCTTTTTAACATGATATTAGTTACAGGTTTCTTATACCTAAACCCTAAACGCTTTATATTTAGGTTTGGCTGGAATTTAAGCTAAGTTCTACTCTAAACCCTATTAAACTCTCTGTTGTTCTAACAGATTGTGTGTTCTACAGAGAAATAGTGTGGTTAATGTACTCGAATTCGATCAAACTCGTCATCTTATAAATTAGTGTTTGGGGTTAAGTTTGAGTTTCTTTTGCAACTTATAGTCTAAATCAAAGCTTTAATAAAGATGGTATATGACTAGGATGCATGGGATGCATTCGTCTCTGGAGATGTCTTCTTCAACCAGTCAACAGTGCAGGGAATTGTGGAATCTTTCTGGGAAGCTTGGAGCAAACAAGGAGTCCATGGACTCGAAGGATCGAGGGCAGTGTTAAAAGCTTAGGAGAAGCATGGGAATTTGCAAACAAGTCTATGCAAACTGTTAATTTGGTAGAAATATTGTAAGAAGATGCAATTAGATCATATATTCGACTTTCGGGCAGAGAATCGATGGCTGCTGCAGGAAAACACAACTTATCTGTCCCTTTTGTTCTAATTATAGATCAATCTTTTGTTATTTCCCCCATGACAAAAACTCTATCATCTCCATTCATTTCACATCTGGTTCGATATTCGACTTCGGGTCATATTTCGAATTCGAATGGTTCGGTCGGAGAAACCATGGTGAAGGATGTTAAATACATGCAGAACATGGGTGAAGTGGCGCTTGCACTATTGATGACATATAGCCAGAAACCTTCGAGTCATCCAAGATTGGAAACCATTATTGAAGAAGAATGATGTGAAAGTTTATCAGTGTCGAAAAAAGTTTTATCTTCTTCTTCCTGTTTCAGTTTCTTTGTCGGCATTGTATGTTTTGTTATGTAAGAATAGTGTTCAATAGACTTGGCATTTGGACGGATTGTGTTGGTACCGGATTAGCTCGATTTGGGTCTAATTAACTTGAGTTTTCGGGTTCAGATCGAATTAATATAAGTTGTTTTGGATATTTTGAGTTTGATCCATTCGATTCTGTTTGCGGAATCATTTTAGGTTATGGCGGGTGCATTATTGTTATATTCAAGTCTGGTTAAATTAAGGTTTTAGTCTTTTATTATATTCAACTTTAATATTTAGCATAATCTATGTATTTTAATTTGACATAATTTAATTATTTATATTATATTAATTGTTGATTGAGTTTAATTCGCTTGACATTGTTATTTATACATCATATAGAAGGATGTAAGATTAAGTATGCTTAAGCGTTTAATATCTTTCTATTCATTAGTTGTCTGATATGGAATTTCATTGTACCAAATCTTTCAACTTTGATAACTTCCCTCAACTCTGGCAGAAAAGAAAGATACAGCTTTTCAAGGTGGTTGATTGCGAGAAGAGGCAACTCTACCTTTAAAGAACATAAGAGCCTGAATATGAATTGAAATATAGAAATGAGAATTAGAAGGAAAAAATAGCTTACTTCTTCTTGAACATTGCCATTACGAATGGACAACACGGGGTTGAAGAAGGTTTTTGGAGTCTGGATCATCCCACTCATACGATTCCCACCATTCTGTTCTTGTCTTAATCTTCAGAGAAGATGGAACATATGCATATGGCTGCCTATTGCCAACAAGTGGAACAAATGGAGGAATTCTCTTCAGCTTTGAACAAAAACCAACTTGGATAAGCTGGAGAGAATCACAAACCATTGCTCCATTTTTACTGCAGATCCTCTCCAATTCTGGTAAATGCTACTAGTGTCAACTCTCTAAATTTGGGAAAACTGGATTTGATTAATGCATCACTTCCTTTTTCGCCATCTTCCGGTGTTGGAGCTCCCAATATTTCTATTAGTTGATCACAACATTCAACAATAATTTCTTCCAAGTTTTGGAGGTTGGGAAGCAGCCAATGCGGAAGCAACGTCTTCATACTCGAGCACTCTGTTATCCGAATATATTTAAGAAGGGAAAAGGTGGCCAATATTGATGATCCAAATATTTCAACTTTGATAACTTCCCTCAACTTTGGCAGTGCAAGGAGACTCTAACTTTCAAGGCTTTGAAATGGTTGAGTGCGAGAAGAGGAAAGAGACAAGGAAACAACATTCTCTATCTCTTCGCAATCCTCCATTCTACAAACCCTCAAGTCAACAGCACTTTCTAAGGAAGGAATACTATCGTTTAAGCTTCTCAAACCGCCGCACTCTTTAATCTGCAGGTGGTGAACATCAAATGGGAGCATAATTAACTCACCTTCACAAAACTTATATCCATTTGATTATTACACTTTTTATCTTCTCTATAAAATTCTCGCCGATAAGATGAGCTCGCCTTCAGTGCGTACTTGATGAGATTTTTGTTGGACTGCTGCATGGAGGAGACAAACTTGTTCAATTCATGCATGTCCTGGAAGCATACTTCAAAGCATTCCAACTTCTCCAAGTGGCACTACCTCCTCCGCCTTCAACCTTGTTTTTTCATTATTCCAGCAGTTTGTATATAACCTCATAAACCAAATAAGATTAAAAAGCATGTGATGAATTGAGTGAGCACAAGTGCAAAATTACCTGCCACTGGGCTGCTTCTTGTGCGAGATCTCGGAGATTGAAAACAGTGAAGAAGAAGAAACGAGGCCTTGTTTCAGATAATAATTAGTACAAAGAATTGATATGGACAATTGTTATGGTCCACCTCGATGACTTTTCAAATCTTTGCTGCCACATTCAATTACTCATGGTCGGTACCAACAGAACAATAATATTAAGTGATTTTAGTATTAAAAAACAATGTTTTCCTTTCTAGGTCCTCGATTCGAGTAACTGTGTTTGTAAAGTGTGTGTTCTACATTTTTTTTGTGTGGTGTTGTGGTAGGTGCAGAATTATGTAGCAGTGGGGGGGGGGTTCCATATTCTGATAGCTCTTAAAGTTGCCTTGGTTCACCCTCATGACTTTTCAAAGTCTTGTAGTAAAATCTGGACAACTGTTATGGCCGTTGCTGCCACATTCAATTATTCACACATTAGAATTGATAAAACGTTTAATCACATAAATTTAAATGATTTCTAATTTCACTGAAATTAAACTTATATTCCGTTGAAAAAAACTCAGCTTCCTTCTATTACTCTCACCAAAATAAAATAATTCATATCTATTTCAGTGTTATCGAGCTGATGGTAAATGTAAATTCACCAATTACTTTGAGTTTGATACACACCGTAATGCAACTTCACAATACATTAGTTCAGGTAGCCTTCACTCCTATCTTGAATAAACTCCACTTTCACAGATAACTCTGAAAATTTCAATGCCTTAGAATAAGTAAAAATCCTGAAAGACCTCAGTAGCAGACATTCTTAACTGCATAGTAATGACTGCCAAAAAAATGGTTGAAATTGAAAATATGACTTGGCATACAATGAAATGCAAAACACTTTACATAACAATCCCAGATGGTCAGGGTAATACATGGAACTGACTATGGCCTATCAAGTCCCACGGAGGGCATTTCATAATTTGGAGGTCTCCTACGGAAGCTGCTCTCAACCTGGTGTTGGGGGCAGCCTACTATCTTACCTCCCCTTACCCCATACATATGGGAAAAAAGGGATAGCCATTTTTGACTATGGCCTATGGCTCTACCGTCCTCACCTCTAAAGAACATGAGAATTTGAATTGAAATGGAGAAATGAGAATTAGAAAACATGGGATGGGGTTGAAGAATATTTTTTAAAGTTTGGATCATCCCACTCCAACGATTTCCACCATTCTGTGCTTGTATCTATCCGGTGAAGAGAAGGTGGAACATATGCATATGGCTGCCCATTGCCAACTAGTGGAACAAATGGAGGAATTCTCTTTAGCTTAGAACAATTATGAACCCAAATAAGCTGAAGAGAATCACAGGCCAGCGCTCCATTTGTACTGCAAATGCTCTCCAATTGTGGTAATTGGTATAGTCTCAACCCTCTCAATTTGGGAAGACTGAATTTGATTAGTAAACCACTTTCTCTTCATCTCTCGATGTTGGTGCTCCCAATATTTCTTTTAGTTGTTCACATTCTTCCTCGTTAAGCAGGTTTTGGAGGTTGGGAAGCAGGCAATGCGGAAGCAACGTCTTCATGCTCGAGCACTCAGTTGTCTGAAATATTTTTAAGAAGGGAAAAGGTGGCAGATGAAGCCAATGTTGCTGATCCAACTCTTTCAACTTTGATAACTTCCCTCAGCATTGGCAGTCTATGGAGGGGCAAACTCTATGTACATGGTCGCTGAGCTTCTAACTAGATTTCAATTTCACTTATTAGTAATAGTCAAGCTACTCATTTATTGATTTTAATAATTAGTTCAATTTCTCGATCATTACGATCAAATCACTCCATTACAACTTAGAAGGTAACATAATATAGGTTACATACTTTATGATACAGTGACTTATTTAGAAAAAATTGATTAATTGAATAGACCGTTAGTAATTTTTTAAAAAATTTAATGACTCATTTATAATCTTACCAATAATTAAGTGATTTCTGGTGTACCGTATTTTTCTAAATGCAGTATATCAAAGGTCATTGAACTATACTAAAATGATAATTGGATGTTCAAAAACTATAAAATAATCATTAATTTTTTTGAGTGATTAAATTTTGAATATTTAATAATCAAAATGATCGTTTTAATACAGTTCAGTGACCTATAGTGTATTTTTCCCTATTCTTTTTTTGTTAACCATCATAAACAGTGTTCAGAGTCCGTATTCGCTTTGCTAGTAGGAAAAAGCTATGGACTTTGATAAAGAGAAGATGCTAAAGCCGAAACGAATATATATAAGCAAAAACCCAGTTCACCGCCTCTGTCTTCTTCATAATAATAACACTAGAATCATCGGATTATATCAACTTCTAAAGTTCTTTAGTATTATTGTTCTGGGTATTGTTTAAAAAAAAAAGAAAGCAATCTTCGAAGTCGAATTCCATGAGCCAAGAACACGAACCTCATTCGGCTTCTCAGCCAGAACCTCCGCCGCCACCGTTTGATCCTAGTCGAAGTATGCTTTTTGGGTTTTCTTTGTTTTCCCGTTTAATGGTTTTGATTATTGTCCCTCTTTCTGTAAATTTGGGTTATTCTTATCTGTTTTCTAAATAATCAAATTTGAAGTTTGTTTGGATTATTTGTTGATATTATCTGTTGGTGTGCTACTGCTATCTCTGGATTGAATTGATTCTATTGCTTTTTTCTATTTATGCTTTGTTTTTTTTTTTGTTTCTATTTGACTAGTAATTGATTGATTCTTCCAGGTGATTGCTCAAGAAAAACTAGCTAACATGTGTTTTGAATTCATAAGTATCCTTGCAATTATAAGCATTTTAGTTACTTCTTCAGATGGTTCGGAATGGTTTGGAATTATAGCTATTATGGTGTTGATGAGAACAAGGGTTATGGTTAAAGGACACCTTTCTAGGGAGGATTTAGGGTTTCGTTATTATCCTCGAATGCTTTTTACGAACCTCATGCATTCTGTGTTTGATTAATTCTAAGGGGTTCAGTTTCTTAATCGAATGGTTCGGAATTATGTTGTTATGGTGTTTGATGAGAGCGAGGTTATGATTAAAGGATGTCTTTCTAGGGAGGATTTAGGGTTTCGTGATTATCCTCAAATGTTTTTTTAACCTCGCACGCTCTGAGTTTGATTGATTCTAAGTGTTTCAATTACTTTATTGAATGGTTCGGAATTTTCGTTGTTATGGTGTTTGATGAGAGCGAGGGTCATGGTTTAAGGATACCTTTCGTAAAACCAGAGATGTAGCTTTGTTAATATGAATATATTTATTTGGCTGGGGAGGATTTAGGGTTTTGTGATTTTCCTTGGATGCTTTTTATGAACCTCACGCACTCTGTGTTTGATTAATTCTAAACATTTCAATCACTTTATCTAATGGTTCGGAATTATAGTTATTATGATGTTTGGTGAGAGCAAGGGTCACGGTTTAAGGATACCTTTCGTAAAACCAGAGCTGCAGCTATGTTAATGTGAATAGAGTTATATGTGTAGGGAGGATGTAGGCTTTCATGATTATATCCCCGAATGCTTTTTATGAACCTTGCGCACTCTGTGTTTGATCGATTATAAGCGTTTCAGTTACTTTATCGAATGGTTCAGAATTATAGTTGTTATGAACTTATGACGTTTGATGAGAGTGAGGGCTATGGTTGAAGGATACCTTTAGTAAAAGTGTAAAACCAGAGCTGAAGCTTTGTTAAAGTGAATAGAGTTATATGGCTAGGGAGGATTTAGGGTTTTGTGATTATCCTCGAATGCTTTTTATGAACCTCGTGCACTCTGTGTTTGATTGATTCTAAGCGTTTTGATTACTTTATCGAATGGTTTGGAATCATAAATGATGTGGTGTTTGATGAGAGATGGTTATGGTTTAGGGATACCTTTCATAAAACCAGAGCTGTAGCTTTGTTAATGTGAATAGAGTTATTTGGTTGGGGAGGATTTAGGATTTTGTGGTTATCCACGAACAATTTTTATGAACCTTGCGCTCTCCGTGTTACACTATCTCTCGAATAATATATACGTGTTTATGCAGTGATCGGCATCATCAAGAGGAAGGCCTTAATTAAAGAGTTAGCCGCTGTATACCACGCCAAGTGCCTTGCAAAATGTCAAGAACTTATGGAGCTTCAGAAAAAGTGGGACGAGGTATTTCATTTATGTTCCTTTTGATTTCAACACTTCCTCTTCCCATCATTTTCGATAAATATAGAGCGAAACCCTTACTTCTAAACCGAATAATTATGAGTATCTGTGACATTATTTCGATTAATTGATCTAGTTGCTCTTCGGTCTTTGGATCTCCTAGGCACAACTTAGCATATATCGATGTCAAAACTCCAGATTACCATAAATATATGGTTTCATCGGTTATGAATTGATCTATTTCTTCAACTATCGAAATCGTCTTCTTTCTATTTGCAGCCATACATCGATGTCAAAACTCTCAATGATTCGAGGAAAGAGAAAAGGAGGCCTCCAAAACGGCTAAAGAAGTCTCGCTAAGCATATGGTAAGATTCGAGCCTAAATCTGTTAAACATTGTCACTGTTTTTCAGGTCAGCTGAATTTGATGAATGCAAGTTTGTGAACATTGCCCCATTTACAGTGTGTCGAGTGGTCTCCGGTACCCGTACTTCAGCAGCGGTAGAATAGATTTACGAGCATTTAAATTTATATACGGCTATTTGTAGATGATCCGATAATTGAGATTACATAAGAAACATCTCTCGTGATGCCTTAACGAGGCCGGAAACAACAGGGATCGATTAGGATTTCCGGTTTCCATATTTGTAACATAGGGACATCTTAAGATACAAACACAGTTACGATGTTAACAATTTGTATAATGGTTAATCTGATTAGGGTTCTTAGCTATCAATGTGTTTGATTGGGCTTCCAATGGTAACTTTTGAGTATGAGTTCAAAGTAATAAAAATTGTCAAGTTTAAGCACCGTTATACAAACTGTTAGAATATCAAATTACAAGAAGATTATACGTATGTATATATATATATATCATTGTACGAATATAATAATCCTAGTTGAATAAAATTATATCAAATAATAGGATCTTTATCCCAGATTTGATTTTGGGTTTGATCTTTATCCTACTCTTATAATTTTTTTTTGAAAGAATGAATAGTTCTTCCAAAAATCTATGTATTCGGAATTGATATCCTATTTGATCGACGTTGAACTCTCGATTAAGAGTGGAAATGAAACGAGTCGAGTTTTAGTACTGTCGGGTTCAACTTGAAAGCTTGCGATTTCAAAATTGATAAGTTTGACTAGAAATAAGAAATTAATATTCAATTCAAACTTGAAAAAAATTGAACTCGAAAGAATTGTGAAGATTTGTTACTTCTATTTTTTTTTAAATCCAAGTCATTTAATATTTTTAGCTCAACTCTTTTTAAATAAATCAATCCATTAACGTAAAAGAATTATTATATTTGAATTCTAAATATTGTGAATACCAATTATCATGTTCATTATTGTTATTTTTAAAACAATAATTAAAAAAATTAAAATTATTAACAATTTAATTTAAAAATTAAAGATTTTAATATATTATCGAGTTGGTTGTGAGATTTTTTGAATTATGTACCAAGTAGCTTGTATTGATTCGTTAAAACTCGAGTTAAGTTTGAACTCGAATCGAGCTTACTCAAATTAAATTTTAATCAAGTTTCGATCAAATTAAACTCGAACATTTTATGATATGTCTCATCTCATTTACAGTTATATTCTCGTATAAACACCTAACGAAAATGTGGTCCAAAAAATTTGCTCTGAGGACCACAGCAACCCTATAGCAATGTGCTTAATTTACGAGTGTCCATCAACCAATATCAGTGGCCCCGATTCCTTTCAAATCATGGTTTTTCTTTGTCCGGTCGGATCGCAACTCTCATTGTCTTCATGAAACAAGATTTGAGCCGTTGAATAACTTAAAGAGCCCACGTTTCCAAGTATGGAGACGCTACATCAAAATTGGGCAACAACAATGACGTTTTTACATCATAATCATCTTTACATTTAGTATAATATCGTTGTATTTGTTAAATTTATTAAATATTTGTATTTTATTAACAATTTTCATTAACATTATTTGTTTTGATAAAAAATTGAAATATCGAGAGATGAAGTGTTCCAAAATAAAAAGAATATGAGATAAAATAATCATTTATGCAAATATTAAAGGTAATTTTATTATCATGTTAAAATAAAATCGGTTGATAATACCATTAAAATTTAGTACTTCGTTGAGTGTTGAGTATATTGATAAAGCATATTATATGTTGAAGGGAGAAGCTTAGATTTAAACCTTGAAAACGATAATAGTATTAGTGATCATTTTCAACTTCAAACGTAAATAATAAAAAGAATGAATAAAAAATATAAAGGAAATTTGCACGCAAAGTAAAAGTTCGATGAACCTAGCAGCCGAAAGAACAGAAGAATAGTAATGAAATTTCAATGAAAGCAACGACCGATACTACTTTTCATATCCAAACCACTAAGTTATATACTCTATAGTATACCCATGATTTATTCACACACACACACATATATATGATATTCTACTGCTTAAAACAATCAAAAGAATATACAAAATTATTATATTCTTTGACTTTGTAAAAGTGAAGTAATTTATATATATATATATATATATATATATATATATATATATATAAGTTAATATTTGATATATTATCAACTAAAAATAATTATATTATATTTAGAAGATATTCTTCGAAAATATCTTAATTTATGTCGCATCAGATTCATTTAAATTGTCAACACTTCATCAACAATCGACCTTCAAATACACCTCTCCACTTACTAGAGCCTCTAAAAACTCCTATCCCCCGAACACAAACTCTCAAGTCAACTGTAGTGCATAGACGAGGACTCTACTAGGGCAAAATCCAAGGTCTAATAACTAGATCTTTCTAGCTTGATCAACCTACAAATGGTCATCATGACTTTATGACTGACAGAACACTAAAGATCACGATAAATATTTTGAACTCAGATCGGAATGGGGCTCGAACCCTTCACACTTCGATCCCGCCTTCCTCTTCTTCTTCCTCATGGGTCATCTCCTCCTCAATGAAAACATCGATCAATTGTTATTCTCTCGCTGACCGCAAATAACCAATGAGCCTAACTTATTCTCATCAACAAATTATACAAGTAATGTGTAAATTATGTCAAATATTTTTATTATATTTTAAAATAAAGATAAAATTTTAATTATAATTATAATCTCATGTGTCCATCATTTTAGACAAAGAATAATTGACATAAAAGGTGAAAATGATAGCTACACATGGTTTATTACATACTACAAATCTTCAATATATTCTTTTTTTCTTACATGAAGGCGAAAATGACGCACCAATGGCATGCTAAAGAAACAATAGTTAATGTTCTTCACTCTTTGCCAACTAATTATTATTACCTTTATCCTCCATTAACGACGAAGAAAGTCTTCTCTTCAATGTTGCTCTTCTATGTCATCCGTTAATAGTAAATTTTATTTCAAATAGCAAAATGATTGGGATTAGGGTGGAGGATGGAAGTGAAAGATTTTTCGAAATCGAAATATCTTCGATAATTCATTAATGATTTATATTGATACGTTGTATTTGTTTCGTATAAACTTTTATTATTCATTTATTAGAGTTTGTGATTTAGATTTCATTTTTTATCCACAAAAAAAATCACGTGGATCTCAATTGATGAAGAAATAAATTGGGAGAAAAATAGGATATGCGATGGATGCAGAGGCTCTCAGGCCATAATTCACCACTGACCCGATTGGAGTGCGGAAGAGAAACTATCGTGATGTGATAAAATTTTATTCGATAAGGATTATTATGTTTGTACAACTATATGTAGGGTTTGATATACTACCATATAATCTTTTTGTAATTTATCGTCTAACTTGATGAAGTTCTAATGAACCATTTTTAAACCCTTTGAACTGTGACTAATTATATTTATCTAAAGAGAATGTTACGTGTCCAAGTAGACCGAAACTCATAAATTTTAAGATTTCTCAATAGTTTTGACACAAGTAAATAGTACTCTATAGCCAGGTCTCTAATTCAAGGCTTGTGTATGTAAAAAAATTCTCGTTAGGAGACTCATCTATCATAATTAGATGTACGATACGAATCGATTCAGAATAGCCAAGATAAAGTCCTAAAAGATCGGGAGGGTCACAAATTTAGAGAAATTTTGTATAATATTATTGTGTTTCTGAATTATATTATTTTTAATCTATTTCTCGATGGGTCTCGTATAAAAAATATTTATATTCGAAAATAAATTTGATTAGATATTTTAAAAACTCCTCAAATCTAACTTTTTTCCTCTTTCCAAGGAATATCTTCTTTTATGAATCTTTCTTTCCTTTCACGCTATATTACTATTGGGTTAATAAAAAATATCAATAATCTGATTTGGCATCAAATTCAAGGGACTCATTCTTTTACATGACCAGAAAAGTAAGAATTATAAAATTAACCTACTCGAATAATTAATTTCATTATATTTTTTATAAGTTATTTTTATCTATTAAAAAGTTCGTCATTTACTAACAATAAGTTGGTCTAATGAGATATGACATTAAATCTTTTAAGTAAGATCAGATGTTTAAACCCTGATTTTTACGAATGAAGTAAATGAGTTGAGGGAATTTGTTCGGAGATTAAAGTCGGTACTTGATGCAATGCAATTCACTATTTAATTGACTGATTAAGAATATTTATACTATTATATTTTATGTGAATTCGAGTTTTGATATCTATCTTAAAATAAAAATTTTAATTTAATAAAAGAATATAAATAATATTTTTTAAATAACGAGAATCATTTATTATTATATCAATAATTTAATTAATAGAAAGCGAAGTAATATTTTAAAAGAATATAATATAATATAAAAGTTAAATTAATATTTAATAAAACTGTCTCCATCTGGATTAATATTATAAATAGGGACCAATATTCTTACCTAAACCTTAAGAATGTGGCATTTAATAAAAAATAATAAAGGAAAGATAATAAAAAAAATAAAAAAAAATATTCTTACCTAAACCTTAAAAATATTCCTTGGAATTTAATAAAAGAGATTGTGCCATTAAATATGCCAGTGAAACCACAGACAACCTTTTCTTTAAAAAAATAATAAAGGAAAGACGAATATACTATAGTATACAATAACTAGAGACTTTAGGTTATAAAAAATTCGAGTTTAATTTATAATTTAATTTTGATTTGAATAAATTTATAATATTAAACAAACTCTTGATGGAAGTGATTTTGTTTCATCTCATGTACTTGTAATTTGACGTTTCAATTGAGAAGTTAGTCCCTGTATTTTAATTTATAACAATTTAGTTCACATGCTTCATGAAATCGAGAATTTAATTTAATTAAATAATATGGATAAATCTTGTTGTTAAATTGTTAACCTAAAAAACAATTTGTTTGACAGTTTATATACATGAAATTAATAAAAATTTACGGTTCAACAATTCATGCACAACAGATTAGCAAAAACCAACTATTCAAGTTCATGTCTTTGCCAATAATTAGGTTAACCTTTTTATTTTCATAAAATAAAATGTTTAAATTTTAAGGTAAAATCTTAGTTAGCATGTTAACATTCATCTCAAAAGACTGTCATTTTTTTACGCTAACATTCATCTCAAAAGACTGTCATTTTTTTAACGTAAAAGGGCGAGTTTAGAACATATGAATTGTCTAATGATCATTTTGTAACTTTTAATAGTTAGATGACTCAACAAAGCAATGCCCTATAGTCGAAAATTTATTTTATAATTTTTAATAATCGGGAGACTTAACAAAACAACGTCCTATAATCAAGGGACCATTTGTGTATTTTACCCGAAATTTTAATAAATTAAAATAGAGGAATTGGCCTCTCAATATTTATAAAATAAAAAATGAAATATATATATATATATATATATATATATAATGACCTTCCAAAAAGAAAGAATCAATTTTGGACCGCGCTAGTGGACTCAAAGATGACAATGAAATCAACCTTTCCTTACCTTTTTATTTTCATAAAATAAAATGTTTAAATTTTAAGGTAAAGTATGTAAATGATCTCCGACTATAGGATGTTGCTTTGTTGAGTTATCCGATAAATTAAAGTTACAAAATAGTCACATGATTATTCATATGTTTCAAACTCGTCCTTTTATGTTAAAAAATTGACGATATTTTGGACTGTACGTTAACATGCTGATTAGGATTATAATAAAATCATATTTTAATGATGTCTATTAGCATTGTTGTTGCTTTCAAGCACTGACTTGATGACATATTTAAGCATTGACTCGATGTCATAATGTAAACAGAGACTCGATCTACAAAATACACTTGAAACAGTTATGAGATCAGATTTTACCATATCTCAATCAGTATGTTAACATTTAACTCAAAAGACTGTCATTTTTAACGTAAAAGGACGAGTTTGGAACATATGAATTGTCTGATGATCATTTTGTAACTTTTAATAGTTAGAGGACTCACCAAAGCAATGCCCTATAGTCGAAAAATTATTTTGTAATTTTTAATAATCGGGAGACTTAACAAAACAACGTCCTATAATCAAGTGACCATTTGTGTATTTTAACCTAAATTTTAATAAATTAAAATAAAGGAATTGACTTCTCAATATTTATAAAATAAAAAATGAAATATATATATATAATGACCTTCCAAAAAGAATGAATCAATTTTGGACCGTGCTAGTGGACTCAAAGATGACAATGAAATCAACCTTTCCATACCTTTTGGTCGTTTAAAAGAGGATTGAAATTCCAAGTAGTTTACCTAATACCATTAAATATAACATTTTATGAACTTGAATTTAATTTAATTAATTAATTTGATTATTTTTTAAGATAAAATATATATAAATTTTAGTTTCTTTTATCTCAATTTCTATTAAAGATGTAAATGAGTTGGACTCGAATAATAAAAAATTATGATTAGATCGAATTTTATTTTTAACACTCAATATTTAAATTATTTGCATTATATAAGTGATGGCATATTGATATTAATTATTAGTCAGTCTAGGAGGATGAGGTGCTAAATTAGTTAAATAATGTTGGAACTTTGAATATTAACACTATTAATGAAGGGTCAATTTTATAACTGATCTATACATTATCTAATTTAAATTAGTCGATTAATAAGTCGAATACTGATAATTAATTCGAATAATTCAACTTGAATAACTTAAAACAAAAATATTATTTATTTCAAACCGATTCGAGTTTTGTTTATGTCTAGTCCGAGTGAAAAACCTACTAGCTTAAAATATGAAAGTCAATCTTACTTGCAATATATAAGAATATGACCTAATGGTAAAGTTTTGCATTGATGGTGGAAGAGGGTAGTTATTTGTTACATTCAACCTAATCGTAAAAGAGATAAAAAGGAAAACCAACAACATACGTGCTTCTCCATCTATGGGGTATAGGCTATAGGAGGTAGAGTCAACTCTTGGACCACAAAGAAAAAACCCTAAATTTTAAGGTAAAATAGGGTTTGGATGAACCATCATTTGCTTGTACTTGGAGTTTTCTGGAACAACCCAAGCCTATAGTCAGCTAACGTTGACTTGTAAGCCGAAGTCTTGTATTCCCACCATGTGAACTCTTTGTATAAGCTTTCTTCTTGTTTTCCCATTAGTGAAATTAATGGGACTATCTTTTCACTTAAAGGTGGACCTCCAAAATAGATCATTGAAACCCTTGATTTGTGTGTGTTTGCCGATACCCTATGCCTCACACTTTTGAGCCTCCCATTTGTCATTACCTGTATCAAAAATACATAAAATTAGGTTATAATTAGAGGCGAGGTTAAGACTCGAATCCGACTGATTTTGATTTAAAGAGATGTAAAAATCAAAATTCTATATTAGACTTTTGATATCTCTCAAAGGGGATGAAAATTTTCTTAAAATTCATTTTTCTATTTCCAATACTCAAAACCGAGAAGAGATCTTGAGCTCTTCTTACCACTGAATTAGAGATGATTATGGATCAGGTCAGGTTTTTAACCCACTCGAACTCGATTTTGGAAGGGTTCCATTCGACCTGATTTTTTTATGTTAAAACTCGCACCTGACCAAATATATATATATAATTCATCTTTATTAGATAAAATAATGACTTAATTAAAAAAGTAAGTAAAATAAAATGGTTATTTTTGTAATTGTCTCTATATATATATAAAATAATTATAATGTTATATCGGATCGGGTTGGATTTTTTCACTTTAAATTCAAAAACCTAATTATACTCTTAAAAAAATCAGATCTGACACGATTTAAACTTAATTTTTCAAAATAAAAAATTAACATGACCAAGTCAGAACGAAACCTATCGGGTCCGGGTAAAATTAACATCCCTACACCGGATCCAAAAATGAATATATTGATCTTTCCAATTTAGAAGTAGAGGAGAGAAATTTAGGAGTGCGTGGTTAGACATTATATTAGTACCTGCAAGGCATCTCCAACATTGATAAAGAAGGAAGATTCATCAGGTGGGACTGAAACCCAAGTGCCATCTTTCAGACAAATTTGCAAACCAGATGTGTTGTTGGATCTCAAGACAGATATTATCTGCGGGTCAGTGTGTTCCCCAAACCCCACCAAATTCCTACCACTCAGTGCCTCCGGCTCCGGACAAGGTGGATAATGGTTTAGCCTGAAACACGAGTCACTGTTCTCGTCTCTTAATAGTTTGCTCAATGCATCCCTTGGCTCGATTTTCAGACCATCGGCTATCAGTTCCAGTACTTCAAATGCCAGTGTTTTCACTGCCTGGATATAGTCGTTTACGGCTGAGCTTCTTCATCAAAATAACAAGAAAAGTATTGGGTCAAATTTTATTCTTGGTCCTTTATTGTGCTCAAATTTTGAAAATTAACCTATATAGTTGACAATGTTAACTTTTTAAACTGAAATGAAAAATCTATGTTAGCATCTTAATTAAAATAATTAATTGTATTAACTATTTGCACTGACTAACTGTATTATGAAAGTAGAAGACCTAAGTCAGACGAACATAAGATTTTATATTAAAAAAGTAATCTATAATTTGACCAAAACCATAATTTGACCAAAAGTGTTGTTTTTTTTAAGAAAATTGTATATATTTTTACCGGAAAACTTCTGGCCTTTGTCGGAAAATGGCAAGGGTTTTGAGAGAAACAACTTGAGGGTTGGTATTGAGAAGGAGATACTCAATCCAACCAACATCACCATTGGATCCAATCCTCTTGCTTCCATAACCAAAAGGGTCAGGTGGACCAGCTTTGTCCTTTTCAGACTGAGGTAGATTGAAGAACTCAACTGCTTCACTTTCCAACCTTGTAATAAACTCCATTGGAACACAGTGGTTCACCACCTTGAAGAACCCATACTCTTCACATGCTTTCACCATCAAAAACTTCGATTCGGGGTCTTCGAGGTTTATCACTGGGATTGATGTGAAAACAGTGGTGGGTTTGTTGCATGTTTCGATTAAAGAACAATGGGTTAATGTTGCAGGCTGTGATTGAACAACCATGGTGGAAGAAGTAAAGAACAAGTGAAGAAAGTTAATGGGGTTTTAGTGGAGGATTTGTTGATACCCTGAAGGTGTTTAAATAGGCTAAATGGTGAAAGGCGTTAGAAATAGTTATTTTGGAAGGCGAATATATATATTAATAATATAAATTTATTGTACAAAATAAACACAAATAAAAATTCAGGTGAATGCTATAAATAAATAAATAATTAACAAAAATAAATTTTAATTTCAATCTGGACAAGTCATATTTACATCCACTAATGTCTAGCATTAAATAATATAGAGTTTGTATTCAATTGAATGAAGTGGAGATTAAATTAAATATATTTGTTGAAATTTTGTTTTCATATATACTTTTTACATATTTTGTTCACACACATTTTTTCACATGCATATAAACATGACGTGTACATACTCTTTTTCACATGTTTACACACCCTTTTTAACCTATGTTAGTAAGATTATAATGCTGCACATTTACTCTTTTTCAAATGTGTAAGTAGGATTTATAATATTATTTAATAAATTAAATGTTATATAAATTTTAAAAATTGATTGAATTCAATTCGATTCACCTATGATTTCAAACCATTCAAGTAGTAAGTATGGACGAACACAAAATTTTATATTAAGAGGGGACAATTTTTATAATTTTAAGAGAAAGTGAACCTTTAAAATTCTAGGAGATAAAATAAATTTTCAATCAAAAATATATAAAAAAAACATCTAAAATATATAAGAATTTAAAAATTTTAGAGGTGTAATTATCTCATCCGCTCCCCTTCTATCCATTCCCAAAAGTAAGTATACTCGGGTTTGAAATTTGATCTATGTATTTTGAATATGCTTTTAACACTTGAGCTGGTGATAGGTTGATGGAAGGACAAGATTAGTTTGAGGACTTAATTAAAATGTTATGATGTTTAAGAAACAATTTAAAAGTTAAGTTATAATTTGGGGCCCTTGGATGGAATTAAACCCAAAAATGACGAATTTATATTAAAAATAAGAATAAAATATATAATAGTCGCGCGAACCAGTGCCCCGCCAAAAACAAAACTTCCATCGCTCTCTCACAATTTCTATTTATTTAAATATATATGTTTTTTTAAATTTCGCCCGTTAAAATTCCTGAATATAAAAAAACTGGTAAATTTAGAAGAAAAAAAGGGAATACAATTAGATCAGAGCTTTCGATCATGTCGAAATCGCTTCCTTATTCTATGAAAGATATTCACTATGATAGCGCAAAGTTCCGTCACCGATCTTTCATTAAGGTATTCAATTTCTGTCCCTCCTTTGTTTTTTTTTTCATATTTCTTTGAGGTATTCGGATCTGCATTTTGATGTACTTTTCATGTGAACAAGGTTATAGTTACGTTAGAGATCAGTGTGAAAGGGAAGAAATTTTCAAAAAAATAAAAAAAAAATCAGCGAGGAAATGAGAGCGTAGACAATGCAGAGATGAGATGACCGTGTTTAATGAAAAGTAGAGGATTCAGATATTACGGATTTTGGATAACTTGAAAATTGATGTATTGGATTCACTATCTGCATTTTGATGTATTTTTTATGCAAACGTGATTATATTTATAAAATGAACAGCGTTAACAAATAAGGAATAAAAAAGACTATTAAGGAAATTAGAGCGCAGAAAATGAATAGATGACAGTGGATGTTAAACAAATTGGGGTTTCAGATAACTATCAGATTGAGATATTGGATTTACTACCTGCGGATTTAGATATTAGGCGATCTCTGGGGATTTGCATTTTGATATATTTCTTTTATGCCAACACTTATATTTCTGAAAGCGATCAGTGTTCAAGGGAAGAAATTAAGAAAAAATAAAGCGCAGAAAACGAAGAGATGACAATGTTAGTAAAAGATTGAGAATCCGGGTATTGTGGATTCAAATAACTAGCAAATTGATATATTTGATTTACTACCTGCGGCGGTTTTGGATATGAGCCCTTGGCTGTGTATTGTCTGAATCTGATTTTATTTTGATTCAAATAGCATCGGATATTCGAATCTGTTACTCGAGTCCACTTTATTTATACGGATAATGGTTATCTGAATCCTATATCTATTTACAATTTGAATTTATTCTCTGTTCTTTTATTGTTTATTACAGGTGATCACTCAGACATTGTTTACTAGTGACATGAGGCGTGAATGTGTAAGTTGTAGTACAGGGAAGTTTTTTGGGTTATTAATGATATTTGGATTAGCATGTCTATTGTTGACTCATGCAAATAAAGTACCTTCTGTTTCTGATGGACTAGCAAAAGGTATTAGGACAGATGAAAAACATAAGGTAGTTACTGATGTTGGCATAAATATTTAAAAGCTTACGAGAAGAGCTCCCAGGCTTCCTCCCTGATTATCGGAAAATGAAAAAGGTAGTTCCAGTACATTTACTGGCAAAGCAAATGAACCTGATGAAGAAAAATGGAAAGCTAGACAGCAAAATGTAAAGGAGGCTTTTATCCATGCATGGTCTGGTTATAAAAAGTTTGCTATGGGTTCTGATGAGCTTATGCCACTAAGCCAGAAGGGAATTCACGGGTTAGGAGGTCTAGGTGCTACAATTGTAGACGCTCTTGATTCTGCCATGATAATGGGTCTCGAGGAAGTTGTTTCTGAAGCAGGATCATGGGTTGAGTCGCATCTTTTAGATAGGATTAGTCAGAAAGGGCAAGTTAATTTGTTTGGAACCACAATACGGGTCTTGGGTGGTCTATTGAGTGCTTATCATTTGAGTTGGGGGGGGGGGGGGATAAAGATGTGAACTTAACAAACAAGGGACCAAAACCTATCGTTTATCTAGACATTGCAAAAAATTTGGCTGATCGTCTGCTAGCTGCTTTTACTTCCAGTCCAACTGCCATTCCTTTCAGTGATGTTGTCCTAAGTGATTCCTCAGCTCTTCCATCTCTTGGTGATAATAGTAGTACTTCAGAAGTTTCCACTCTACAGCTTGAGTTCAATTACCTTAGTGAAATTTCTGGTGATCCGAAGTATAAAACATAAGGGATGAAGGTTTTGGCGCATTTCAAAACTCTTCCAAAGGTGGAAGGACTGGTTCCTATCTGCATCAGGCATGTTTCTTTCACTTCAAATATGCCATAATTCCGAAGTCATTAATATTTAAACTGCAATTTCTTTCTTTATATCTTTCTAGATCTGTAGTCTGCAAAGTTAGGTTTACAGAAATTTCCTATTGCTGGGATAACTGATTTTAGTCATTAAACACTGAAGAAAATAATGTGATATCTGGGTTTTCATTACGCAATTGCTGTTACCTTCTTTTGGGTGGTCTAAACATTCAGGTTTGCTTTGACATCTGGCTTTCACACTTTTTGTTCTCAATTAATGTACTTCAGTAACTACGCCAGAATGAAATGGCTTCAGTGATGAAATGAGATGTGATTAAATGGACAAAGGAAAATAGATCTCATCTTCTATTGACTAAATGATTTGAGATTAATACACTTTATCTTCTACTGATATTATTTTAATACTTATCATCATTGTCATCCATCACTATAATATGTATTTGTAATTATCTAGTCCTGAAACTGTCTTAGTAAGGAATGCAGATCATTCTGGCGAGTATTTATTTATTTTCTTTGATATAACTTGCCATGAAATGCAGCCCTCAATCTGGTCAGTTCATCGGAGAAGAAATTAGACTCGGATCTCGAGGTGATAGCTATTACGAGTACCTAATCAAAGTGTGGCTTCAATCTATTCAAGATGGTACTTTCACATCTGTATGATATGCATGATAAAGCAATGAGGGGTGTTAGGCACTTGCTTGTGCAAACAACAATACCAAATGAGTTGGTTTTTGTGGGAGAATTGCCTTGGGGACCCAATGGTACTTTCCATCCAAAAATGGATCACCTGGTATGTGGTACTTCCTCCACCCTTGCGTTTTCAGGAATACCTTGATAAATGGATACGTTTGGTGCTCTTGTTTAGGTGAAAGATATTAAATTTTCTCTCATCCTGCCATATACTGTTTAAGGCATTATGACATTTCTAGAATAAGCTTACACATGATGTGCTTCTAGGACATACGATCTAGGCTTGTACAGTTGAGTATATGGTTCACTTTTTTTCTTCTTTTTCCTTTTGTCCCTGTTTTTCATTAACGAAGTCATTAAAATTTTGTTCAGCTAATTCGGACTTTGGTCTCTACATATCCAATACTGTGGAATTCATACTGAATGTTCCTTAATATATTCTTTTGTTCTTCACCCAAAATTTATTAGGTGGTTATGATCCTTGAGATAAGTTTTTTGCTCTGCCTTATAAAAAAAATCATCAGTTACCTACTTAGATACATAAAAGTTAAGCCCGCTCTTTGGATCTATCATATTGGACCAACAAGAGGTTTCTTGCCCCATCCCATAGCCTGTATTAATCTGTGAAGTCAAAACTTGATTATTTTCCCTCAGCATCATAACTTATTGGCTTTACCATCAAAACTAAGGTATTAGCTCACTCCATCAAAGCAATAGTTGTAGTTGTGTCATTCACTTACATGAATGCATAAGTTATATGTCTGTGTTAATCATTGACTCCAGTGAATGCATTCCTGTTTTCGGATGCAAAAGAGCACCCCTGATTTATGGAAGTATTTTTAGTGTACTTCCAGGTGTGTTTCTTGCCTGGTACTCTTGCGCTTGGTGCTACTAAAGGCATCATAAAGGAGAAAGCCATGAAGTACAACCTTCTTACATTTGAAGATCTGGAAAACTTGAAACTTGCAGAAGATTTAGCAAAGACATGTTTTGAGATGTATTCAGTAACTGCCAGTGGTCTGGCTCCTGAAATTGCATGCTTTCATACTAAGGTTGGTTTCATTTAACTTGTTTGCGATAATCAGTATAGGATTGAATTAATTTCTTATTCATCTATACATGCTATTCTTTTTGCATATTATATAACTTTGTGGGTAATGATCTGCTGTCATGATCTGATTTCAACAGGAATATTTTGAAAGTGGTCTTGATGGT